CATTGTTCCACCAAGCTAAGAAACTTGGCTGTGACTCACAAGGAAAGAAAAAGATAAACACTGACTAAACCAATGGGTTTCTTTAGGAAATCTACTCCGTCGCCATACATTAAAATAATCATAGCTACTCCCTTCTATTAAAAATAATGTTTATATGGTCCTTTTAGTAGGTCGGTTACAAGGTGGCTAGGTAAATGGATTTCTTACACATCCTACTTCTGGAATCAAGCAAAAGACAGATGAAAAGGGGAAGACAACAGTATCTTGAAACAAGCAGCCCTCTATCAGCAATGTGCTGCATTCATTATATAACACAGTGTGGGAATCTAAGGCAAGGGACAATCTTGTGGCTTATTTATAAATACAATTTAGGAAGTGGTCAGTATAATTTCAACCTCTTTGATATTTTAAATGTTAAAGAGGTACATTATAAGACCTGAGTAACCAATGCTTCAATAACACTGTGTGGTTTTATCAATGTTTCCTGAAGAGTGTCTTAGATGTTAAAGAAAGCCTTTCAAGAAAAAATGTCAATAACTTTTTAACAACAACAACCAAAATAAAGTCCATTTGTTTTTCATCATTTCTTTTAAATTGGCTAATTTTAAAAGTTATTATTCCTTTTTTGTCCTGTATATAGATCACTAGTTCGGTTTCCTCTCTTACAGGCTTCTTTTAAGACCTCAGCTTGTACAAATGTCAATTACAGCATGAAAAATATTTTTGAGTTTTCTACAAGTAAGAGATAGTTCAGTATTTAAAAACGTGCTTGTGCAACCTAGCCATCTCAAGCAGAATGAAAAATTGAGGATATTGAGCTTCTCCTTCTCAAAAGGTAAGTGGTTCATAAAATACTACCTTCTCTATTTTCTTCTTTCCTGAACTCCTTTTTTCCCCAAAAAGAAAAACACTTCTCGTTTTCCACAAAACTGAAATAAACTTCCAATTTTTCATAATGCTTAAAATATTAAATAACAATAATTTCTAGGTAAGGGATATTAATTTGTAGTTATAATTTTTCAAAATAGCAATCCAGTTTACTGTCACTCAAATGAATCATTTCTGCCTGCTTGTTAAGGAATTGAAGACAGCATATGAGTAAAATGTGCTGCCCAAAGACAAAATCAGGTTGAAGGACTTTGAAATATTTTTTGTCTTTTGAATCTAAATTTTAACCTAAAAGTCCTAAAAACAGTTACTTTCTTCCAGATACTTAACCTCTACCCACAAGTTTACTGCTCCCTAGAGCCCAGTTTAGATTAATAGTTTGCATAAATAATTGAAATTTAAATAAAGGAAGGTATCCTAATAATGTTGTAGATACAAATCTAGTCTGTAAGCCCTTGGGGCAAGGGCCTTCTAGGAGATATTGCTCAGATGTAATGAACTCACCACACAGTCCTCAAACCTTCCTTACTAACGGCTTATTTTGATTGTACTAGCCAAAAATTTGTCTGAACAGTCCTATAGCATTTATATTTTAACCTTTACAACTTCTTAGAATAATAACACTGTTTATTTACTAGAACCACATGCTAAGAATTATTATAATTCCTTTTGTCTAGAAATGATCTTATATCTTAAAACTAAAAAGAGGAATTCCTTGCTTCTTTTGAGATTTGGCTATAAAATGTGTGTGTATCCATCCTACTCAGCAGCCCTTATTATTTATTTTATAGACTTCGAATCACCAGTAACAACTTGTAATGCTCACTCACAACAGACTGAGTCACCTAAATAAGGAAAATAAAAATCTAATCTCAAGAACTGTGACATAATAGTAAATAGGTTATAGTGGCTACTCTGGAGCACAGAATACAATGCTGTTATTCTGGGAAACTGCATCTAAAGAGTTTGGGGCTTTATTAGGAAATCCTTGGGTATAAAAGTGATATTCAAATATGCCACACTTCTTGCTCTTTTGTTCTACATCATCAAAAAGTGTTCTGGGAAATTTGTAACTGGCTGAGATTTCAATTCATTAGTGATATCCATGGACAAATAAATGCCTGACATTTTCTCTTTGTGTCCATTTCCCTCTCATGTCCCATAATCTCTCTCTCCCCCAACCCACCCTTTCTCTCTGCTCTGTGTTTTGTTTCCACATCTGTGTTTTGCTCCTTGTGTGCAAGAGAGAGAAAAAGAGTTTGCTTCCTCTGTGTCTGTAGGGTGGTGGACACACTTTACAGACAAATCTCAAAACAGGAGAAGTAGGAAATTCCTCTTTTCAGTTTTCTGGATGGATATCTGACCATCTGAGTGTTTACCTATGTGCCTGTGTATTATCTGTGTATCTCTCAATACGTATTTCTATGTTTAGCTGATTCTTACTATAAGGTCTGATCTTTTCATAAGAAGAAAATGACATTGAATCAGAAAGAGCTTTTCTTGGGGTTCAGATAAAAAGACAATGTCAGCCTCTGTTTCTTCAATTGTTAAATAGATTGGGAGCGCTGGCTTCTATTCTTTCTCTTCCTACTAAAGCTCTGCCAACACTTCACTTTCAATGTTGTTAAGTTAGGGAATAATGAAACCTTCAAAGTGACAAACCTGATCCATCTGTGAGAATCCTGAAGGGAATTTTCTATTAGTCTCAATTAAACAATTTCTCACGATAAATTTTTCTATTTCTCTTCCAAATCATATAGAAATGACAACTGCAGGATATTCCCCCATGAATGTATAGACAATTTAATACCACAATTCTCAATTTCTGAGGTTCTTCCTATAAAAAGGTACTGAGACGTTTCAGCACTTATCACATACACCTGTTTATATACTTACTACAAATATCTAACACACTTCAAACAGTTCAGGGTCTTTGAGCAGTGGTATTCAAAGTGACCCGACAGCAATTAGAGGTGGCATGTAAATGCCAGAACAGGTAAATTTTCATTTGCACTTAGTTTAATCCAGGAAAGAAACATTTAACCAATGAAACAATTATGAACATGAAATGCAAAAAGATAAAATATTACTTTGAGTGGTAGATATAAAATGGAGGCAACAGAAACAGACATTTCTAAGCCACCTAAGATAAAGCTTCATTTCCTAATATATCTACAATTTGTAAAAATTCAAAAAACTATCTCATAGTTTCACAGCATATATAAGAAGCTTCAACCAAAGTTGCTTTATTAAGTTTAGTCAAGGGATTCTCATGCTCTTTCTCCTTATCAAGCAGAGCAATCGTAAGCCTGGAGATTTGATTTTTTAAGGCCTTCTCTGAAAAGTCCTCTCATAGACCAAACTGCGTGGAATTGAAATAACCCAAGAGGATGAGAAAGCTGAAATAAGACATATACTTAACTAATTCCAATAACCCTTACATTTCTCCCAAACTGTTTTAAGAGTAACATCCTCTTGTATTACAGGCTTAGTATAATATTAATACAAGAAGGTAATGTAGAAGTATAAAAATTCCCTACCATTATGAATTGATATAACTCAAAAATATTACAGATATTTAAAAGAGTACTAAGCCAGACCCTATTAGCTATTTTTTCCAACCCAAATACGACACAACTGCTTTAGACTTGTATTGTTTCAGGCATTGGCCAAAATGAAGAAATAAAGTTTAAAACCTCAAATTAAAAACAAATACCAAGTCAGATATTTAGGGGAAATACTTTGAGACACTTAAATACGGTTAGTCTCAAAATGAGGAGAAATATTTGCAAGCATAGTCTTAAAAGGAGATTCTAATCTAAGAATTCATATAATCTAATCTACCATTTAGGTCAGGATGGTTTATTTAATCATTTGTTATCACTTCAGTGTGCCTCTGTCTTTCTGTGTGCCTCCAGCTAGGCAGGGAGACTCTTAAGAAGACGGGATGTGTATTAATTAGTTTCTTAATCCCAAGAAACCAGAGTGTCTGTGGTATAAGGCACCCAAATAAATATTGTTTCATTGAATGAATAAACAAGGTACTGTGGAACTGCATAGAGTATTTCCACTGCTTTGTTGCAAGCTCTACTCTACTCCATATACAGAAATGTCTTTCTCATTATTCTCCAAGCAAGAGATCTCAAAATAACAGCCTCTGAAGGAAAAACTTTAAAAGATATTCAACATATCTTACTTATGAATTTTATAATTATACAAAAGAATTAAAAACAAGTAGAAAATGCATATTTCAGTAAGATGCAAAGTTTATAAGGTCTTAAAATGTGGAAATGTATAACCATTCCCATCCTGAATATCTTGTAGGAAATGAATGTATAAATGGATGGTATTTTAAAGACACATTAAGGCAAGAAAGCATTAACGTCAGAAGCAAGGTAAGATCGCATCTTTTTGAATTTTTTTCTAATTGCATTAAAAGCACAACAGCTACTGCTTCACTTCTATGTTTCTAGTGTTTAAGTCAAACGAAATATATAGACCAATACACAATGAAAAACATAGCAAGAAGAAACTTTAAACACCAATTTGTCCACAGTAATTGCCTTCCCATCTTTCAGTCACTGAACTCTCTTTTTCAGGTTCCACCCCAACTACTCTTCCCAGTACAAAGCACCTTTCCCCGTGCCCATGAGGGCCAAAAGCCTTTCCAGAGATTTAAATCTCGTTAAGTAGCCACTTTTGCAGCCATTCCCAACTTGAGGGAAACCTTTCCACTGAGATTAACTCAGAATTTGGTCAGTCCCTGCTGCCCACTTTGGGAAAAAATGTGGGAGAAAGAAGAACAAGAAAAATAAAAGCAAAACTCAACTGTATGCTCCAGATGTACCTACTACACCCTATCCAACCCCTTTCTTTCCTCCAGTTCTGGGCTCTGGACAGGTGGGAGGGGGTGAGTCAGGATGCAACTAACTTTCCTCCACCACCTCATTGCCACCCCCACCCCCCAAATCCAGCCCAACTGGTAACTGAAACCACCAAGTAAGGCTGCCTGCATCCCCCTCCCCCCTTGGGAGAGGCATGGGATGGGGAGGACGGGGGGCGCGTGTGGGCGGGATGGAGGTGGGGGTGTTCTGAACTACAACTCTCCTTACCACTGGAGCGCCTGACGATGTTCTCCAAAAATGTGTTCTGCGGTGCCACCAGCCCTCTCTTGCCCCCCGGCATCCTGGGTGTGTAGAGCAGCGGCCAGGATCCGCGGCGGGGGAGGGGGGGATGCAGGAAGAGAAGGTGGAGGAAGAGGAGGAAAAGGTGGAAGAGAAGACTGAGCCGAAAGAAGAGGGGGCGCGGCGGCGGCAACGGGGTCCCCTGACTGTGTCTCCAGCCCGACCCGGATGAGCAGCTCTGGGGAGGAGGACCAGGCAGTTCATGGTAGTAGCGCTCCCCCGGCCGCCGCTGCCCAGACTGTGGCGGTGCCGCACACGGGGCTCGGGAACTGCAGGCTCCGCGGGGCACAGTGCGCCTGCGCCGCCCCCGCTGTCGCTGTCCCGCCGGTGCTGATGCTGAGGCTGCTGCTGAGGCTGCTACCGCGGCGGCAGGCGCCCGGGCGCGGGCTCCGCATCTCTCCCCCTGCCCCGCGCCCCGGGGCCGTGGGAGCACAAGAGCAAACTCAAGCCCCCACTCCCCCAGGAGCCCCTCAGCTCACACCGAGACCCCTTTCGTTTCCCGCGCCTTCGTCTCCGGGTCTCCTCGCCCACCCCCTCGCGCAGCGAGCTCCCCCTCGCGCAGCGAGCTCCCCGCCGCCCAGCGCAGCCCAACTTCTGCCGGGCTGTGCGCCTGGCGGTTGCTCCTCTCCCCGGAGATCGAGGCGAGCGCTCGCGGTCCACTCGGGCCCGAGGAGTGGGAAAGGCGGGTGCCCGAGAGAGCGGTGGCCAGTCGGAGGCTCACATCTCAGCGTCTCCCGCTCGGGTCCGGGGCCGGGCTGCTGGCGCGGACGCTGCTACCGGGGCGGAGGTGCGGACCGGCTCGCGCTCCAGCCAAGGCTGAGAGCCGGGCAGGGACTGGCTGGTCGGCGCGCGGGGACGCAGAGCAGCCACCTGACGCTGCTACCGCCCCCCTCCGGGCTCCGGCGCCCGAAACCTTCCTGAACACTGGCGCTTTCCGCACCGCCCTACCCCACCCCCGGAGCGGAGCGCGGGCTCGGGAGTCCGAGCGCGCGGCAGGCTCCCGGAATGGCCCCGGCGACCCAGGCCGGGCTGGGCGTGTTGGGGGAGCGGGCGGCCGCCCGGGGAGCTTCCTTCAGGACCGCTGAGCGCAGGAGGCGAGCCGCGAGCCCGCCACCGCTGCAAAGTTCTGGGGAAGGTTGCACTTGATGCGAAGAGTAGGGGGAGAGGGTGAATAATTCCCACCCGAGAGACGGGGAGTGAGGCGGGCAGCGTTAGCGATGGAGAAACGGTAGGGGCTGCGGGGGCGAAGATGCGCCAGGGTGAGGCAGGGCAGGAATCGCCTCTAACAACTCCTCCTCCCCTCCAAATCCCAGGTGTTGAGAATGGACAGGAGTGGAACCGTTACAAACAGTCCAAAAGCCTGAATGTGCCACGGAGAAAGGAAAATGGCATAAGTGCGAAGCGGGCAGAGAGAGATGGAAAGGAAAGAGGAGCCCACGCCGAGGCACCTCCTTTGATCTAAGGCAGTGGTTTTCAGAGTGGCCCGGAGTGGCAGCATCCGCATCTGCACCGCCTAAGAACTTGTTTAAAATGCAAATTATTGGATTCTACCCCAGAGTTAGGGAACCAGGAACTCTGAGGATTGGGTTGACCCATCTGTTTTAACAAGCCCTCCAGGTAAATACGATAAGTGTAAGGCGTCCTCTCTTCTCCAGGGGCTGCACCTGGGCCTGTCAAGAAAGGACGATTGTGTAAACAGGGTCAAAGAGAGGGGGACCAGAAGGGCACCGCCCCGGAGTCAGCGGTTGGTGGTGGAGCGAAGTCTTGAGTGCTGAAGGCGAAAGAATATTTGGATGGCTGCGTCCCCTTTTGCTGGGGTCACAACGTGCTAGAGGAGAGGTAACTGCATTAGAAATTATCAGATTACCAGAAGCAGGGGGAATCCCCAGGCAGGGGTCCGAGTACACATCTCAGCACCTGTCCTTTTTTGGAACCCTCTAGATTACCAATCACTGACCTCAAAACTGACCTCAAGACAAGACCTAACACTCTCTCACTGCCTCTTTCTTTCTCTCTCCCCCTCTCTCTCTCTTCCCCCCCTCCTGCTCTCTCTCTCTCTCCTTTCTCCTCTTTCTCTTCTCTCTCTCCTCTCTTCTCTTTCCCTCTCTGAAATTTTCAGAGCCCAGGCAGCTGAGCAAACCCAGAAGGTTGACACAAGGCAATTTTATTCCGCTAAAAATATTTATGCAGAAAGAACAAGAGACTCCGTGGAATACCACTAGGCTATTCTAGCTTTCCACAGGAAGCACTGCTGGCATGGAGCTTATCCCCTTACAGTTAAAATGTCTAAATACATCAGGTGTGTTTAGTTCAATAACAAGCGACTCAGGTGCAGACTGAATCTGTAGTGAGCTTGCCACAACAGCACTCAGAGATATGGCCAGGTTACAACTCCCTCCTTGCAGTTGGTAGGAAAAACTGAAACCGCCATCACCACAGCAACCTTAAACATATAATTGAGTTTCCCACTCGATCGAGTCTTTTGTGACCTGTGTTCAAATGATCCTAATCAGCTATTTATTGGCTGGGTTGGTGAATAGGCAGGCTTATTTTTTAAGCATGTATAATTCATTGCTATTCTAGACTTCCATCATGCTATAATAATTCCATCATCATCATTAACAGAGCATATTTCAAATCTATATGTTCTTTTGCATATCATCAGCTGCCCACATCTCACCTATGGGTATTGATTTCAAATCTCAGCTTCTCAGCGTTTCCCATCTAGTATATATATATATATATATATATATATATATATATATATATATATCCTTGTTCCTAATGATTCCTCTGTGGGTGTATTAGCTCACATTTCCCAAAGAGGAAATTCTTTTGGACTCCATTAAGACACAGTCACAAAATTACTGGTAGAACTTCCTTGTTTCCATCTGCAGATTTGATTAAAATGACATTCATCCTTTCTTGTTTCTAACAACTCCATAACATTATAACGTTTGCATTATTTTAATGATCATAAAAATGTGGCAGTTAAGAAGTGTCAAAAGGCTGCATACTTAATCTTCTAGTTTAAGTTTTTATTTTATAAAGGAAGAAACCAAGACCCCCAAAAAAATGAAGTATCCTGTCCCAGATGACACAATGCTTTAGAACGGCCTGCACTGAAACTAGAATCAGGTCTCCTCACCCTGTAGCCAGAGCTCCTTGTAAATAATAGAAAATAACCTAATCTTAGGCTACTGTGGTAACAACAAGCAACATAAAGGATCTCTACTGCCATCACTGATTTTGCAGCCCATGAGAATAGAAACCCCTGGCAACCGTTGAGAACTGATTGGGAACTTGCAACTGTTCCTAACCAAAATAGAGTCAAAGAAAATCAAGTGGCAGCATCATATAGACTGACTGGCCCTAAGGAAGGTGCTGGCCAATTTCAACAGGGTGGTAATACAGCATTTTAAAAGAGTGTTGCAGACTCCATATATTGTGAACAAACTACAAGATTTAACAGATGAAAGAGACAGGAATTAGAAAGCTTCAATGTCCCACAAAGAAAGGGCTTCATTTTGTTTTATTGCCAAAATTCCATTTCAAAACAGAATCATTTTCTTCTGTCCTTCCGGGTATGGTAATTAGAGAGACGTTGTCTGTGATCACCAAGAATTCCAGTCCCCAGAAGTGTCCACTGACTCCTAAGTCACAGCAGAATGAAAGCTGGCTGAATGAACTGCAGGTGTGTTCCAGTCTAACCGAAACCAATATAAACATGAAGCTTAGAAAACTGATGTTGGAAGTGATGATTTGGAATTACTACTGGTTCACTGAAGGACTTTTTTATCAAATACCCCTCCTCCGAAGATTTTTAAAATACGGTTTACTTAACAGTAGCTGTAATTATATGTAAATTTTCAGAAAATGCATTAGAAATAGGTTCAGTTTGACACTTATTCTTTGATCCCCTATGTGCAAATGATCCAACCACTACTTTCTCGGGAAATTTTTCTCCTAATTCCTACTTTCCGTTTCTGAGCAAACCCCAGTACAGATCCAAGTTACAATCTGTAGATGCTAAATGGGTGGCTGTGATGGAGGAATGGGAAGAAGAAAAAAAGGAAAGGGGCAAAAGTGATTCCCTATCATGGATGGCCTCCAGGGTTGGCCTCACTAGAGCAGTATCACTCCATTCCATTTTTTCCTCCCCAAGCCTCGCTACCTGCCTTTCCCCAAAGCCCTATCCCAGCTCTAGCAGTGAAGCATACAAACATTACTAAATTCCTCTGCATGCACCAAGTCCCACATTTACACCTATATCTTCTACCTTTTCTCCTATCTGCTGCCCCCACACAGGACCTAAATTGAGAGAAAGCAGATTAGAGACTCAATGCAGGGACTCTGGACCCAGACTACCTGGAATTTAATCTCGCCTCCCTCACTTACTAGCTATATGACCCAGGCCAGGTTATTTAACCACAACTTCCCTTGTTGTAAAATGGGGATAATCATTACCTATTTAATAGTGCTGATACAGAGTGCTAATAGTTACTATTTGAAAGCCACTGCAGACAATATCTGACAGGTAATAAGCACTATGTAAGTGTTTGAAAGTAAGTACATGAGCCTTTTTTCCCATTCTACTTTCACTTAGTGAAGGCTCTAGAAAGTGGTCACTACTGAGGTTCACCAATATCCAGTTGCCTTTTCCTGCTTCTTGAAATTAGTGTGGCTATGAATTAATGCTTGTTAGTGAAATAGGAATGAGGGGAAAGGGTGTTACTTCCAGGTGAGCATCTAAGAACCAGGACTTAGTTTCTCATCCTCCTCTTCCTCTGCCTCAGTGACTAGGGAATGCCAACAAATACAAGGAGAACACCTGCCCAGAAGTTACCTAGACCTGCAGTAGACATTACATAAGCAGGAAATAAACCTTCGTTGTGTTAAGACACTGATAATCCAGCACTATTTGTTACTATGCCATAACCTAGTCTATCTATCCTGGCTGGTACAGGTTATTAACTTGCTTTGGGAACCGGAGATTAGAAGAAGAATAATTCTCCATCCTGACTGCACATTACAATCACCTGGAGACTTTATAAGAGTCCCAAAGCCACAGCTCAGACCAAGTAAATCAAAATTTCCTAGGATGAGACACAGACATTACTATTTTTTTTAAGTTAAAGTTCCCCAGGTGATTTCTTTCTTTCTTTTTTTTTTTTTTTTTTTT